ACGTCATACATAATACATGTTAAATTAAGACATCCCAAGCAGAACAACGATAACGTCATGATAACGTCAAAATGACGTTAAAACGAATAAAAAATGATTAAAAAATGACTTTTAATGATTATTTTGGAATCATTTTGACATCATTTTAATATCATAATGACTTGTTGTTCTACTTGGGATCTCTTCTCACTAAATTATATATTTTTTTAATATACAATGAATGCAAAAAGTATTCGTACAGAAAAGATATTTTTTTTTAAATCTTTTTTTAGAAACGTTAATTAGCAAAAAATAAAATAAGTAATATATTTTTTTGAATTATTTTACCTAAAAAGTTATGTAATAATAAAAATGTATTAATAATAAAAATAAAAAAGTATATTCTTTTGATCAGAAGAAATACAATCAAAAAGTTTAGCTTTTAAACAGTTATTTTTGCGAAGAACTTTTATTTATTATTAGAAAAGAATGTATTCATTGTTAATAAATTGTTAATTAAAATTTATGTTTTATCAATAATACTTTTTTAATAAAAAAATCTTTTCTGTATAAATATTTTTCTCATTTAGTGTATCTTTTTATTAAGTGTATCAATTCTATTGCATAATATGTGACGATAATTTAAAAAACACAATCAAATAAAAGATATTGATTATAATCGTGATAACATTCTCTATATCGACTTACTAAGAGTAAGTGTATTGATTTAACGCTTTAGCGGTCAACGTGTTACTTCAACAACTAAACTGATACGCACTTTGTGTCACCTACAAAAGCAGATAAAACTCCGGTGGGCAGTCTGATCGCAGTCTCAATGAACATCGGATCACGAATCGGAATTCCGTATATATTGAGACCACTGGTTCCATTTTGCACTGAGGACTTGAGCTTTTCGAAGAAATTTTCTAAATTTATTTTAGGTCCTTCGAACCATATAGCTGCAACTAAACATATGCATCATATAATCAGTGCTAAATACAATATGTAAGGATGTTGATAATAAATATAGTATGTAAGAATGTTGATATTGCATAATGATGATGTCGATTCCTCTCTCTGATGAAATGTTATCGTTAAAAAAAACTAGAACAAAAAAATACGCGAAGCACGGAAAGATCTGTAGAGAATTGATATCGATATATGAAGAATAGACCGATAAAAATAAAGCATTCATAAATAGACTTATTCAAATATATAATGTCTAAAATCTCTGTATCAAAAATCGAAATACCATTCAAAGTAGACACGTGAGAAATGGAATCTTCCAAAATAAGCGGCTTAAAAGTAGAGCGTTCAAAAATAGATAAACATAGAGTGATATAATTGTAAGAACAATATATTTCCGGAGAAATACTATTCGACATACGTCTAAAGAAATATTAGAGGAGAAGAAATACTATAGGTATCTACTTACAATTATCGTCTATCTCAATTGCCCAGGCATGGCAACATATCAGGATAAGCCCGAACACTACGAAGTTCATTTTTCTGTACAAAGTAGAAAACACGGTCGATTTAACTGCTTCCGAAGACGAAGAGGATCAGGATACATCCCTAGGTCGTAATAATCACACTACAAGTTACGTCGGTTACGGTTGCTGGTTGTCGGTTCTATTTTCACCAATCATGTTAACTAACAGACACTTGCTGCATCATGATTAGCTAAAATAAAACCGTCAACCTGTAGTGTGATTACGATCTTAGAAGACGTTGTCACATCTCGAAACATTACCAGAAATATAAACATTTCAGAAATTGTTCTAATATTATGTCTCAATATCCGTGTAAAAGTTGAACATAATTCTCTTATTGGTGTAAAAATTATTTAATTTTTTGTTAGCCTTGTATAAAATTGCGTTTGTAGTAGTTACATATTTGCAAATTTGATAAGATCATAGCATCACGAATTAAATCAAACTCTAATAAACTGCAGTAAAATGTGGTCATTTCGCTGCATAAAGCCATTACAAATCAAATTTTGTTGTTTTATTTTTTGCAGTTAATTTCAGAACAAATTTATGACAAAAATTTGTTAGCTAATATTAGCAGATATTGACTTTTTGAACCGATTTTTTTGGTTGATACTTCTCGCCGATATTTGTTATAATATCCTTAAAACCAATAGAATTCGCCGAATAGCGTGAGCGTTCTTGCGAATTAATAACGTAAAAACGGACCTAAATATTCTCGGTGGAGAGATTCAGGGTGAGAGTCGGCAAGACACTGCAGATTATTTGGTATCATACTTTTGACTCTATATTTATAGATACTTATGTTTGGTAGGGACACGTCATAATTACGTATGAATCGTTTGTAACTTAAGTCGTTAGCAAATGCCGCAATTGTGTTTACATGATTTGTGATGTACAATAAAGAATCGCAAGAGTTATAATTTAGAAAATTACGCTGTATATTAAACAGCCTTGGCCAAAAATATTAGGCACCTTATTACCCATTATTTAAAGCTTTAGCTCAGAAATTGATTTATGATATTTCTTATAAATTATCCTTTGTTTTAAGAACCTTTAAACTTATGTACAATACCGATAACTAACACTGAGAGAAAAATGTATGAATTTTAATAATATTAATAAATATTTTTTTTATAAAAGTGCTTTATTAGATATAAAAATATATTTATTTGCTACAAAATTCATAAATTTGATTTAACCATTATTTTTTATTTAGCAAATATGTATTTTCTGTAAATAAATGTTACATTAGTATTATTCAAACAATTATTCATTAAAATTTTGTATATTTTTTTCTCAGTAAATATTATAAATAACAATGCAGATAAAAGAATTACAAATAAATATAAAAATAAATGCCTAATATTTTTGGTCAAGGCTATAGATTATTATCGGATCTCTTATCAAGTATACAATATCACGCAATTTGATTATGCCAATCGACGTAAAAAACTTAAAAGTACGGAACTGAATAAAGGAGACCGGAGATAGTTATCAAAATGCTTATAACTCGAATAGGATGTGGCAAAAAAATTTCTTTTTTTGACTGTAGATTGTTGATATTAATTTATTGTATAAAATGATTCGTATCATAAGCATTGTATATTATGTATAACAATTTTTAAGAAAATGAAGTTGGTGTACGTAAATTTTTCTTATTATTTTGTTTTCTGACAAGTCTTTGGCATTATTAATCGCTATATTTCTGTATTCATAGAATGTGACATATCTTAGAAGGTCTATGGTACAATTAATTAATCATTAGCTTGACAAAGTTTGTGAATACAATCTCTTTTATTAAAAATAGCTATATAGGATAAATTGACCAAAATAAAATGAGGTTAAATAACAATTAATTTTAATATCTTTAGAGAATACATTTTTAGAGAATATACTTACAATATATTTCATATAGATATACAATACATGTTTTTTATTTTTCACATAGAAACTACGGTACAAAAATAAATTACGTATTTTATTAAAATAAAACTCTTTTATTTCAATTAATAACATAATTATTATTATTTGTTTAAATATAAAACTGATATTAAAATACAAATTATATTTTTTATGTGTTGTCCGTAATAAATATACTACTGCCAATCCTAGAGCGCGTGACAGTTAATCCAAATGCGGAGTTAATTATCACATTTTTGCAGCTTCATTTAAAATTAAATAACTTATTTTTATGATATGATAAATTCGAATAATATTTTTTTAACACCTAAAACCATGTAGATATATTATAACATACATAATATTTCAGGCATTCACTTTTTTCTAAAAATTACTAATCAAAAACTAGCCCCGGTCTCCTCTACGCTACATGTATTTCGCTTTGATTTTATTTCTCTTTTTTTACTTTTCCGTTATCTTACATTTAATTCAAGAATAATTGATAGTGACATTGCTTTCCTTCCTGGCTTTCGATGATTTCATTTCTCACATGCTCGAAATATACTCGAGCATGATTTATATTGTTGTTAACTTCTGCTTATTTTTCATACAATAAATCTTGCGTGTTTTTTTTCTCATTGAATCCCGATGAAAATGGAGATTAGATTGTAAAGCATCTTTTTTTTTTTGCAAACATTTACGTTGTAATCTGTTTAATCTTTTAAAAACAGTTTCTTGGTTTACCGAGATTAAGCATCTGTTTATAACACGTGTATCGATTCGTAGATTATTGAATTGATTTTCAACGTTTTTATTAAATAGATTGACGGTGCGCTTTCCCTTTGTACTGAAAAACGTCGAAGTAATTAAATTATCAGGGAGGGTGTCAAAGGGATGCACCACGAGCGGAAATTTCGCTTACGGCTAGCGTCCATTTACTAAGAGACATCCTATCGAGAGTCACTCTGGAGTCATCTCTAAATGAATGTAAAGATTAATAAAGAGAATTATTCCTTTGCTTTATTTATACGTCGCATTCTTCTATGTATTTTATATTAACTTTTATATTATAAATCATCTATAAACATAGCAAAGTATATATTTTGTTCTATTTTATTTTACATTGTATAATAGTACTAATTATTATTATTAGGGATGCACCGGATATCGGCTATCCGGACAGAATGTAACATCAAATATTCAAGAAGACAATTTCTTCGAGTCGGATATCCAACACTTTTCGGATATCTGACCGGATTCCGATAAAGTGTCTTCTGAAAAAAAGGCCTATAGAGAAAAAGATTGCAATTTTACGACAATAAATAAGATATTATACATGGCATTATGAATATACATACTTATTTCTAAAACATTTTGTATAAGAAAAAATCAACAATTTAATGATATCAAATTTCAACCAGATACATTCCCGGATATTAATGATATCCGGTTGGATAGTAAAAAAATGCCGGATAATACCGGATACCGGATACTTTCCGGATATCCAGTGCAGCCCTAATTATTATACTATTATAGTTTATTATACTATTATAGTTAATAAATTTAATAATATAGTAATAATATAATAATAATATAATATAATAATATAATAATATTCTTTATCGTAGTTTTATTTTTATTACAATGTTTTATGATATTATTTTACATGTCGCATTCTCTTTTCCTCTCTTGTGTGTATCATTTTTATATTAACTTTTATATTATTAATCATCTATTTAATAACAAAATATATTTTAATCTGTTTATACATTGTACAATAGTTATTGTATTATTATAGTTTATTATAATTTTATGTTTATTACAACGTTTCTTATATTATATTATTTCGCATGTCGCATTCTTGTGTGTATCATTTTTGTATTAACATCTATATTAACATCTATATTATAAATTATCTATATCCAATAATCAAGTATATTTTATTCTATATTTTATTAATACATTATACAATAGTATTATCATATTATTACAGATTATCATAATTTTATATTCTTACTACAATATTTCTCGATATACTATTTTTTTTTTACACTACTGTATTATTACTCACTATTATTACCCTGTTACAAAAACTGTCCTTTTAAATCCGTCGTGCCGACGGGTTGGAGTAGAGCGACGTAACGAAGAGCGAGCGAGATAGCGGCGAGGGTGAACGGGTGGCTGACGGCGGGGTGGCGACGAGCTGTGGGGTGGGTTGAGGGTGCTCGGCCGGTGGCGTAGCGCGGGGTGCGAGAGAGAGTCGGAGGGATGTGAGAGAGGAAGGGATGCCAGGCCGCCCGCCGGTTCACCCTCACTAACCCGCGGCTCGCTCGACTCTTCAGTGCGGCCTGAACGGTTAACCGGCCTACTTCTCTCTTTCCTTCTGCGCTTCGCCGCTTTGGTAACGCCGCTGCCAACCCTCGTCGTCGTCGTCGTCGTCGTCGTCGCGACGTCGTTGCACCACCGTCGTCACACCGCTGTGGGGCCTGCTCGATTGGTGTAACCCATCGATGTAACGTCGCGAGAGGAACGCGAGATAAGAAACCGCTAGAGAGAGAGAGACTCTCTCGCTCTTCCTTTTTATCTTTTCTCTCTCTTTCTCTCTCTCTCTCTCTCTC